ATGTTTCGAGAAAGATTTAGAAATATCACTGGATATTTCAATTCCCAAGATCACTCAAGAAAGGAAATTGACCGTCATGAGACGTAAAATTAAATCGTGAAACTAAACTGATTGACAGTGTAAATTAAAGGTAAGGTAAAAGAAAATAATGAAATAGCATAATAACAGCAAATTAGCTAATACTTTTCTTCACGGATGCCTTAAGACCATCAGGATTAATAGTTCTGCCTATTTAAAATCATAAAAAGCTCCCTGGCATTACCGATTGAGTCTCGGTTGGAAAAGATTTTAAAGTCATCAACTATATCCTCTTGGAAATCGAGAGGGGATAATCTAATTATGAAGTAGAGCCTTATGCACAGCCATCACACCACTACGTTTCTGGCGGAATGTTCGGAATGTGTTGCAGTTGACCAAAAACTCGACCTGCGTTTGCCAAAGTTGACCTGACAAGCGTTCCTCGTCACAGATTTCTGAACCCTTGTGTTTTGTCCTCAAAATCGCCGGTCAACATGTTTTCTGACTGCACCTTGACATTGGTCCGACAAGTTTTCGGAGTACAAATGAGCATCGCGCTGGTTTTTATTGCATAAAACTCGGAAACTATTCGAGAAGAGTTAAAAATAACAACAAGGTTGTTTGAACGACAGGGGCGTAGCCAGGATTTTTCAAGGGGGGGAGGGGGGTCACACTGTGTCAAAGTGAGAGTACTCACCAGATTGTCATGTGGTTTTAGCCACCTGTTGCAGGTTGTTTGCTTAAAAAAGGCTTACAAAATGGGGNGGGGGGGGTGTCACGGGCAACCCAGGACCCCCTTAGCTGCGCTTCTGAACAATCTTTCCCGGGGTTGTCTCTCTCTAGAGGAAGGAGAGGACCCTGAAAACAAGGCTGCTTTTGTCGTAAATTCAGTTGGGAAAAATTTGGAAGAACGTCTCACTTCGTTACATACGGTAAATTAACGTGGTTAGCTAGTTCTCCTGACCTAGCCATTATTTAGAAGAAACTTAAGATGAGAGCTACATCAGTTCAGTTTCCATTTGTTGTACCGTGTGTGTACAGTGTGAATCAACAAGCCGCAATTGTTGTCATCACCTGATACTGCAGCTTGCACGTGTACAAGTACATTTTGAATCGAGGTGTCTGCGTGAACAGCTGCACTCAATATAACTGTTATTTACAAAAATCACAAAATCAAAAGCAGCTTGAACATTTTCAGCTTGAAAATTGTCTAAACATTAGAGCCTGTTGCATCACGCCCCCCGCCCAATGATAGACTTTCTTTGTACTGTAGTTCCAAACAATACTGAATGCGTCTTTTTCAGTTACTTAGTTGATACATGCAGAAACGTTCGATTGAAGGGTTAACCCTGTTAAACAGTGGTAAGGTGTTGCAAAATATTTTGATGAGTGCTTGTATTCTATTAGTTGCGAGATGAAATCAATTTTTGTTTAGATTCGGAAAATTTGGATATCGCTTGTTATCGGTCTTGGCTTTCCATTTCTAATAAAAACAATAAATCCTTGTTTATACAGGGTGACCATCAGATGAAACTGCTATCAAACGTGGGCCCTGTGTGAAAAAATGAATAAATAGCTATAAGGAAAGTGCAAAACTGGACGACGAAAACTTAAAGTTTTAGGATTCTTGTGTCACTCGTTGCTAACTCTCGAAACAGCTGCACTGACATGGTTTTCAGGAGAAGAAACGTGGGTCCTGACGACACATACCAAGAAGCTAAGCCTTAAACGAAATAAATATTTCTTCAAGTTCATAGAATTCTCTGTCGGTAACAAAATGAACGCCTGCCCCACTGAACCTAGACTTCTGATGTCTGACTGGCTTGCGGGCTAGCTTGACATTTCCAGGGCAAAGAATTAAACGTTGTGTGTGGTTTTTCACACGTTAAGAACTAGCTAGTCGGCTAAGGGCCGGGACTCAGTTGAGGTCAATACACTATGTACCTCTGGCATAACCTGATCCACTTTCTGAGTCTAGTGATTCAATTACGGGAGGAAAGTTTAAATGTTTCAATTAGAAGTTTGTCATTCATCTTGAACGTGTATAACGCTTGTGTATCGATAAAGTAACTGCTTATGTAGCCTCTAAACACAATGTTTATATCAGTTTTAGTTTCTTCCTATGGCGACACGATCCACAGTCAAGAGTTCAGAAGCTTCACACTTGTTTAAACGCTTCAATAGGAAAATCCACCGTTTTGGAGAAGAAAGTGACTCAGCAGGTTTAGAACACGTTACAAGAAACTTATCTAGTTAACAGATACAAAACAAGAGGCTATACGTATTTCCTGCTTATTTTCCCTAGCGGACATACGCACGCTTCTTTCGACCTCACGGGTCTGAAATCCAACCCAGCATAAAATAATTTCCGTTCGTAGTTCACGAGGTATTATGTTCTTTTCGTGACCAAATCTTGCTGATTCATTCAGGTGCTCAACTGGTTTTCCAAATAATTTCTATGAGCTGAGGTAGGATTTTAACACAAAGAATTTTGGAGAAAAATAAGACGCACGTCTAAGCAAGAAACAAAAGTTTAATACACAAGAGGCCTTTTTATTTAGTTGTAGTGGTACGTGGTAATTGGGTTGTACTCAACAAATGGCTTCAGGGCCTGAATTAAAATTTGCTTAGAACATCAATTGTTTTTTGTTTTATTTTTTTGAAGTTGGGTTTGTTTTTCGTCAGTTCGGCAGTTTTCATGCAAATAGATTGTAGATTTTATTTTGAGTACCATGCACACAAGTGCTGATAACAGCTACTCGTTTAGATTTTAAAGACGCAAAACTTCAAGCTAAAGTCACGTTCGTTCGCGTGAAATAAAATACAGGAAACCTCTAACGAGCTGTCATAAGTAAATTACTGATAATAAACGGTGTTGGTGTTTATGAGCATATAAAAATACAGTCAGATATGTTTTTTTCGTTAAAAGCATGTTGTTGACACACCGTTCTTATTGTACTCGAAATGGCGAACATGTTTGCAAGACTTGTTACCGCAGCGTTAAATGTCATGAGCACAGAGACTTCGTGGGAGCAAACAAAGACATTTGCCGGACATGTAACTGCAAGAATAGGTTTTACAGCTAACGCTACGCCACCGGTATTTAGCCTACACGAAGAAATGCTCTTAAAGATTTTAAGTTTTCTTTCCCCTGAAGATTTGCTCCGCTTTTCTCGAGTTTCCCGAATGTGCTACCGACTATCATTAGATCGGTCCCTGTGGAGGCATGTTGATCTGAGGAGCTTCGCTTCACGTCTGAACGATCCTGCAAAACTGGAACTGCTCATTTTCAAACGATTTTCAAACAAAATACGATGCCTCGATTTGAGTGGATTTACCGTGTCAGAGGGAAATCTTAACACCCTTGCTATTTCTTGCAGACAGTTGCGGGTTTTGAAGCTGAAAAGTGTAACTTTTACGACTGATTCAAACAGAGACATTCAGAGGCATAACTCAGAACAAAGTGCGATTTTCCCAGAGAAACTCAATTGCCTTGATATTAGATTTTCACAAGGCCACCCCGGCGTGTTTCGAGTTATCGCCTCAAACCTCAGCAAAGTCGAAAGTCTAGGACTCTGTGACGCTTTTCTATACACCCTTCTTGAGGATGGAATTTTGGAAGCAACCATTGAAAGCATGAAAAACCTGCGCGTGCTGGATCTCAGCCACTGCCGCTTACTGAAGGAAAACACCTTGGCTCTGTTCGCGCGCTGTAACAAGTTGGAAGTTTTGAGAGTGCGCAGATGTCCTATGCTGACGGGCAGTTCTGTTCAGGAGTTTCTGGAGTCTTGTACTCATCTTAAGGCTTTAACACTCGACGGCATCAGCATAGACGACCAAACTCTTCAAAGCATAAAGTGGGACAGTACTTTCTTGACTTCTCTTGAGTTGGGGTGGTGTCCGCTGATCACCCCAGTCGGCCTCAAGTTAACCCTGCGCAGGGTGTCAAAGATCCCAAGCTTGGAGTATTTAGGACTGTGTTCAATAGGAGGTGGAAAGGCATTGAATGACGAAATTCTTCTTGAGATGGCTGCCGGTATTTTGAAAGGTCAGTACGGGAGGCTAACAGAGGTTAACCTAAGTTGTTCGTGGCGCATAACAGAGGATGGCCTTAAGAGGCTTCGCCCCTTGGTGGGGACATTGGATACCACAAGTTGTCCAGTTTCGAACGGATTTCCAATGAGATACGACAAAAACAATAACATTGAACGAAGTACTAGAAAAATAAGCAAAGGAAAGCACATTTCTAGTCACTTTACCAGATTTGAATGGTGCCTAGAAACGCCACTTTGATTTTAAATCATTTCGACCGTTCGTAAGTCGCCGTCAGTCGTCTATAGCCGTCAAAAAGCGTTTTAATCTTATTCACAATACACGTGGATATGAACGAGATGGAACCAGCAAATAATTAAAGAACATGCAGGTTAAATAAGTCAGTTTTTACATATTCTTGAAGTTATTTTCCAATTCGAAATTCCAAGATAGTATAGCCGTGTCTCATTTTCCAAGATGTTTCTTCGCGCCTTCCTGGAATGACTGAGCAGTTTGTTCATTGTTCAGTTTGATAGTAGGTTGAAAATAAAGTATTTTAGTTAATTCACTGCTTAGTCTCTTGTAATTTTGTTAAGAATAAGTGATAAACTTTAATTCGTGTTCGTGTGTTATCCTATTAATAAAAGGTCTGCCACACTCCTCAGCACACGTGCGACGATTCGATTTTTGGACCGCCGATCCAAGTGTCAATGTGGCTTCCTTTTCCATTGTTCTCATAAAAACTGTTAAGGTTGTAGTAATAGTATTTAAGAAAATATTTATCATTTGTTTTCACGGTATATTTTGCATCGTTGTGTGAAGATTGAAGTTCTTGATCTCGCCCCATAAGAAAAGGTCAGAGCCCGGGGGGGGGGATACTTTGGGAATTTCTGGGTGGGGATGTTCCGCTGGGACCCTGGAACCCTTAGCCTATACCAGAGCTAGTTCAGATGAATTTTGCTAACCTATACTAGAGTAAACGCCCCAAATCCTTCCATCTATCGACACTGTTGAGGCTGATTTGCGTAAATTTAAACTTGCCGATTTGATTTTTTTATATTTTNCCATACCCTTCACAGCGGTACATACCTATATAGCCCATATATGGCAGTGCCCCCCCCCTCCCGGGGGGTCAGAGGCGGGACAGTGATGTTCCGAAGACCAAAGATCGTGTAACGAAGTGTCACGCGAAAATCGGAAATCATTGGTAGTGGCACATGCTACTGAGTCGAATGATTAAAAACTTCCAGGGTCGACCCGGCAACGTCGCACGTGCGCATTATCGTGACACGATCCCTTAAACTTTTTCAAAATGTCGAATGTTGCATGAGCTTATAGATGGCGCGGTTACTTTTAACGAGATATTGAGAGTATCCCCTACCCCCCTTCCCACTCCGAAGAGTAATTTTGATACTTATGCCGCCTACTAAGAATTTTCCATAGCAGTGAGATATTAATAGAAAAAGGGCTGCTGTGCTCTTAGAACTAAAAGAAAAGTCTTATCTTCGTTTAGTTTTACATGAAACGTTGCCTGGGTTAGGCTCGATTAACTGCCGTCCCCGACAGAGCGGCGGAAATCGAGCTCATGTCACGAGGAACGTCTTGGTATGAATGTCACGGGATTCCAAGTTAACCTTATGAGTGTCATCGCTCGGTGAAATCGGGTGATTTGAACTTGATTGTAGAACTGGGAGTAGTGAGGATGATAGGAAGGTAATGCCTCAGAACATCTCCTAAGGGTGAAGTATGTAGTAAATATGAGATGGGGCCCAGAATATAACGCTGTGTGACACCACAAAGTAGCGGGACCAAAAGGCGAGTGAGTCGCGTTTTTTCGCAGGCGAGACAAGACGCAACTCAACTGATCGTTCATACAAAGGTAAAACCGGAATTTTACTCAATTCTCGACCAATGAATAGGAACCTCCAATTGATGACCTGGACAATTTCAGATTAAAAATTCTTTATGGTTCTTACTTTAATGTGGGGTAGAATCGTAAGATGGTTCTATCGGACTGAATTGTGATCAAAACCATGTCTTAAGAGGAACTCAGGAAAAACATAACTGAGTTTGAATGCAATTGATTTGCAGGCCAGCTGGCTAGTTCTTCAACTTAAACTGGACGCATTGAAATCTCTCCTAATTACTAGATTTGACCGCAGGTGATCTTTCTAGTCTCTACTCGAAAAAGAGCGCTTGATAAGGTGGTAGATTGATTACGCCTCTGACAAAAACTGTAGGAATCAGACTCCCTGTGGTCTGACCTTTGCTACATGCCCAATCTTGGCCTCCATACTTCTAGGTTACTTCACCGACTAAAATGAATTGCCTGTGAAGGCCTACTCGTGGTTTTGGGCGGTCGTTTCATTGTACATGAATAACTGTATATTTGTAAACACTTATCCCCGAAAGTTAACATAAGGAAATAATACTATGACATCAAGATTACAACCTCAAGAAGCCATTTGAGTTTAGTTAGTCACATGAACGACACTGAAAATATCCCGTATCTTTAACTTTGTTGGTTTTCCACTGTTGGACACAACAATCTTCAACTAATAATTGTGCTTCTTAATTTATTGGTGGTCATTTTAGGAAACATATTCGTTGTAGAATAGCTTGTGCCCAATGTCTCCACAAAAAGTTCATCCTGTGTTTAATGCCATGAGCAACTTAGGTTAAGAGACGATAGTTGTTTGCCATACCATTGCGCTAAATCTGGAAGCCATCCTAAGAAGAATTCCATCATTCCGCCTACCATTTAATCCCCCCAGGGGGTACTCCCAGAAAAATCGGATGGGGGTGTGCGGCCCGCTTCCCAAAACCCTTACCTATTTAAGACTAAAATCTGTGATTTTCCCTACCCTATTTATGACCTGACCAAAAATTTCATGCCCTATTTACACCTGACCCTTAAATCAATGCTGTTTCAGACCTGGTTTATAACTTGTTACCTAGTTCAGACCAATTTATAGGCATTGTGAAGGGCTTTTGTTGATGGTAAGATAAGATAAGATAAGATAAGATAAGGTAACTTTAGTTATACACGGTTTTTCCGTCAGTCAACAAAGTTACTGGACTATCTACCTGTCTGCCTAACTACAATAGAAATTTTAAAAAAATGCTTTTCATGGAGGCCGTGTCTAAAAATTCACTTAAAATTAAGATATTACTTTAAACTGTGGCGACTTAATTTAGATTTGAAATTGGTCAGTGAAGATGCTTGTCTTAGGTCTATAGGTAAGTTGTTCCGCTACTGAGCTCCGCTGTACGAAAAACTTCTCTTAAGATAATCAGTTCGAGGTTGTGGAAGAACTAATTTGTTTTCGGTATGCCTTAAACGATAAGCATTTACGTTGTCACGATATACGAATCTTGATCTCAGATAATCAGGTGTCGTACCATGTAATGTTTTATTAGGATAGACTTCTGTTCCAATCTTTGACAGTAGAGTCTTCGCCACCCTTGTGCCCGGAACAAATCATCCAAATTACTATCATAGCTCGCAGACATTAGGGTGCGAGCTGCGCGATTTTGAAGCCTTTGCAGTTTTCCGGAAAGAGCCTTGTTACAGTTTCACCACAGTACATTGCAATAATCAAAATGTGGTTGAACAAGGCTATCATAAACTTTAATTAAAACATTAAATGGAGTGAGACGCTGAATTCGTTTAACTGATTGAACCAATGGTACAAGCTATCTTCTTAGAGATATTTTCAATATGACACTCCCAGTTTAGGAGTAATGATGAATATATAGCTTTGTCCAAAAAAAAACAAAAAAAAAACATGCCGAATTTAGGACTAGAGTGCAAAAACCATACCCTATTTCAGGCCAAAATGGTCAAAATCGATACCCTATTTAAGACCAAAATTGCTTAAAGACCAAACCCTTTGGAGCCGCGCATACCTATATACACCTACCGATACCTTTTTTTTTTTTCATTTTTTTTTATATAGCCCGTATAAGGGGGTACCCCTCGGGGCAATGAACATAGCACTATGCGCAGGGTTGACTTGAAACAGATTGGAATGATATACCGCCCTAATGAACAGAATAATCGAGAATAATCAGATAATCGAGTTTCTTAGGAAATGTAGGTGCACTTATCCTTATTAGTAAGTCTAAGTTATCTAACTGTATGATTGTTTGAATCAGTTTTAGACCTAACACTTTTCAGTTTTAGAACATGCAGCTGCTTCCAAGAAGGAGCCGGGTGTTCAAGGTTTCCACTAACACGCTAAATCCGCTCGGATCAAGACATAGTATCTTGTTCGTTGTCTGAAAACCGTTTGAAAATGAGCAGTTTTATTTTTACAGGATCGCGAAGGCGTGAAGCAAAGCGGTTCAGATCAATAGTCTTCCAAACAAATGATAACAAGAGAGGATGATAAGATAATAACGGTAGGACATTCGGTAGACTTGGAAAAGGAGGATCAAGTGCTTAGAGGACAGGAAACTAAGGTCCTCCACGTGTAACGCAATCGAGCAAGCTTGACGCCAAGAACTACAAGTTTGGTTTAATATGTATGTTTCCACAGTCAAAGTGTTGAAGCGACCTTTGGGGAAATTAGCTGATCACTCCAACACTCTTTGTTTGGTTGCTTCTCTTTTTATTTCCACTATTGATGACTTGGGTACAATACTCACAACGTTCTCTTACTTGTTGCTCTTGACTGATTACGGCAATTACTACAACCACGAGAAACTAACTCGTCACGTTCCTTTTAAAGGGACAACCACGTCATCCATCAAATCAATGTCAATCTGTCAATTAGGCTAACGTAATGTCATGCGCAGTTCAAAT